ATATATAAGTAGTGAGGTAAGAGCATTTGATATGATGTTTTAAAATTTTTTGTACTATTTTTTCATCTAGTCAAAATAATTTTTAATGAAGAACATGGAGAGTATTTGAATAATTTAGAGGGATAAAAATGTTCAAATTTGACAATTTAAAAAAAAATAATTAAAAAAGTAACATTTTTGTAAATACAAAGTCAAAAATTGATTATTTTGATAATTTCCGCTTATTTTTTTCCCAAAAATCTACGGAGGTGATTTTGGGCACGAGACCATCTTTGCCTCACATCAGGTCCGGCCTGCGTATAAAATCACCTCCAAATTATCGCACGGTAGCTACCAAAATCCGATAAAATCGGATGTTCGTTCACTTTTTATATCAATCTCTACTTCTTTCTCCAAATCCATATTTCAAAAAAAATAAATAAATAAATAAATAAAATAAAATCACGTCTTCTAGACTCTCATTCAAAGATATTGCTCCAATAGGAGAAAAGAAAAGAAATTTATTAGTTGTTTAGTGTTTTGAAACGGGGGATCTTGTGTTTATTTGTTTCTTGTTATGAATAATTGTATTTTTATTGGGTGGGAAAAAACGGCTAAGAAATAATTTCGAAGATGAAATTCGGAGAGACTTTTACAGAATATTTACATGGGGACCGAGAGAGGTTTTTGCAGAAGTGTAGTCATATTGAATATAAAAGGCTTAAAGAAGTGTTGAAAACTTGCAGGAGATGTAATGCATTCAAGGGTTGTGCTAATAATGTTGAAGAATACAATCAATTAAGGGAAGATGAATCGACTCAATCCACCCAGTTATATGAATCTTGCCCGTGTAAGTGTTAATTTTTTTCTTTATAATTTGTTTTTATTTGTTGTCATTTTTTGTATGAATTAGAAAGTGTTGATTATGTATTTGTTTGTAATATTTTATTCAAAGTCATGTACATTTTTTTATAGTGCAAAATCTTGTGATTATGGTGTTTTTCCTTTGGATATAGAATTTTCTAACGGGCAGCAGATATGAAATTAGGTTAACTTCATGATGGGGGGTTTTTGTTTAGATGGAATGAAAGATGAAGAATATCATCTCTTTATTTTATTTAGGCAAATGGTGGTTCTGAATTTTTCATTTTTTCTAAGCAGCTCGCCTTGTTTGGCCCCATTAATTTTCATTCCATTACATTTCATTTTTCTCTCTCATATTTTCAACAACACAATTTTTCATAAAATAATATTACATGTAAATAAAAAACTTTTTCTTCCTTTTCAATCACTTATTTTTCAAAAAAACACTATTCTACCCATTAATTTTTTCACGTAATGGGGGCCAAACAGGGGAATAGTAGACAGCAAAGAGGAAAGTCATAACAGATACTATGAAAAGAATTTCTCACTATTGAAGTGAAGGATAAGCAGAATAAACTTCCCTCACTTGTCAAAAAATCAAAGAATAAACCATTCTAAATTTCTTTAGTAATAAATGTATGTGTTCATAAACATAAAAACAGAATGAAGTTTAGTAATAGAATTTCAGCAAAAATTGTTTCCCTTTATCACCATCTTCATGCAGCTCATAAGTTGATATCAATTGTAATTTTTTCATTTGTTGGTGTGTTTTCAAGAGCCCCAACCGTCATCATCTGAGAAATTTTGATATTCGCTCAACACCGTTCACTCTGTAAGACTGCATTGCCAGTTTTCCTAGTTGAAAGCTTTTATTAAAATTAAACTGAAGAAAAAATAAAATTACTTGAGATTGTAATATAATCAGTTATTCTAGTTCTTTGCCTATTCCACAGGCAATATAAAAATATTGAGCACATAATTTCTTGATTTCCATCCTATACCTCAAGTTGTATATAATTTTCCCTTTCTTTTTTTCCCATATGCAACCTCATGTCGTTCTCTCAAGTTCTGTGTGAAATTGTTGAGCATGAACAAACTTGTGAGTGACGTGCATATTCATGACATTTGGATCTAGGAAATTCTTGGATCTCCCTGGATTTGTAATGGGGATGAATATAATGCTTTTTTTTTTTTTTTTTTTAATTGTAATAGGGATAGATTTAGTGTTGGATAAATGTATGAAAATGGTGTGGATGTATAGTATTTAAATAAATGAATTTAATAAGGACCATATTTGAATGTGATGTGGATGAAAATAGTATTTTTATTTTTATTTTTTTAATTTTCAAATTTTTGTAGGGATAGATATAGAGTGTGATATATATGTATATAATAATAGTGGATGTAAATAGTTGTTCCCTTTGTTTATCTTTCCAAAAATGGCTTTCTTTACCGTTATTGTTAAAAATGGTGGTGTGCAAAGTGTCGAACCCATGATGACTAAGTATTTGATTAAGTTCAAATTAATAATAACCTTAATCGAATAGGAATAAAGAGTTGTAGCAAAATCAATGTCTAATTTATCAACTAAGATTAAAGTAAGTAAATGTTTATTGAATTCGTAAAATGCATTGATAAGATGTAAAATCCCCCTTGCTAATCCATTTTTAGCACAACAAATTAAGACGAAAATGTGTACTCATTCTTTTTGGTCAATGTTCTTAATTTAATTGAAAATCTCTCTCGATAGTTATCAAATCTATTCCTCTCATGTGATCTTCATATCTCTTGATGAAATATACGAACATGCTAAATGCATTAAACGATCTATAACACTTGTGAAAACCATGTAAAGCATAAATGTATTTCTCTATCTTCTATCAAATCTTATAATGTTTATTATTTTTCGTTAAAAACCTATTATCTCTCTCGATAACAATAGATTCCAATAAATCATCTCAATTAGTTGCTAATTAAATAAGATGTCGGTGAAAATAATAATAAACATCTGAGAAAACATACATACTAACGTCAAAATAATTAATTAATACCAAAAATCTCATAATAAGGGTTCATCTCATCCTAAAAATATAAAAAATCTAGCCAAGCATAATAAAATTACAAGAACACATACTAAAGTTAATAAATATCACCCGAAATTAAAGTAATTGGTGAGAAATCTTGAATTCTTGGATGACTTCAATGAAATCTTGATATCTTTTGAAGTTTCCTTCCAATCTTTTGTGCAACCTTCCTGGTATGAATTACGCTCAATAGTTTTCTTGCAATTTCTTGGTTCAAATCTCTCATAATGATGTATTTGCCCTCTTTTCCAATATGATTCTCTCAATTTCTTAAGTTGTTTGTTGTATGAAAAAGGCTCTCCAATGTGTATGGGACGTTCTGATATTTATATGTCTCGTATTTAGGTCAAAGATGTCGTCCAAAACCTTGTCAAGTTGAGTTTTAATCATATAAGAAAACTTGAGATTCGACCAAAATCTTGCAAGTACAATGGGTTGCAACCTTGTTAACTTCAAATTCGTTTCTGCATGTGTGGATGCGACTGCGTAGTTCATGCGTTTTCTCCGTCGGACAACTTTCAATATTTTGGATTTAACTTTTTCTTCCGATATCCGATTGAGGCTATTCAAAATGTATTGGAAAGATAACTCAGAGGTAGAATGTTTCCAATTCGAATGTTTACTATGCCAAATATGGGTCTCAAACAAAGACTGAAAATTTGAAGCATAACTTTTTCGCCTGAAAGTTTATATGTGATAATACTCGACTATATTTCATCCCTTAGACTTCTTTCTTCATCCGATTGGCCTCTAGCACTCTCTAATCTTCATCGTAAGGTTTTACACAACTTTTTAGTATTTGCACTTTAGTCCTCAAACTTTGATTTTGCTTCATTTCAACTCTTTTATCTTGTAATCTTGTTCCTTTATCTTTCAGTTGCGTACCATTAAAGCCTTGGCATCTTCAATCATCATTTCATCCTTCGTTTCATCAATGGATTATTTGCAACTTGATCCCATCTTTTGAATTTCACTTTTTTTCTGAATTTTCCTTTTGTTTCTTCCAATTTCTTGCTCAACTGTTGAACTTTAAATGTTTAACATAAAAGAAAACAATTTAGCATATATTTTGTCAAAATATTTTGTCAAAAAGAACTATCAAATATCGTTATTTTAGACTCCGAATAAATATATAAAATGCACTTATCATTCAACTTGAAGAGTTGTGTGCGAGCTAGTAGTGATGATCGTTGGGAAAGTTGGACTTCTACGAGTTGGGTGAGTAGGGTGAGTTTGAAGAATTGGGCAAGTTAAGAAGTCTACTAGTAGAGTAGGCCAAGTTTATATTGTGGACTAGAGTAGGTAAATTCAAATGCATAATTCTCACTTTAAAAGATTTCTCTACATCAACCTCTTCAATGCAACCTCCCCTAATTAAAGCAACAAACCATAGCTATCCTCTTTTTAATGCAACAACTCTTCGATTACATGAGTTAGTTGGAATTTTCTGTAATATCTTAAGATCCGAGAAATAAGGAATAAAGATATGCTCCACAAGCATTCATGGCAACTTGATCAACTTTCCTTTATGAGTGTATTAGTTGAGTGAATTGCAAGAATTGAGAAGTCCTCCATTGAATTGAATAGGGTGAGAAAGACAAGTTCGGAAACTCGCGGCCGTGCCTTAAGTGGCGAACTTTTCCGGTTCCTTGTTAGCAGGTCAGACAAGGACAATTTTGGATTTTGAATTGAACTCTTTTGGGTGAGAAAATTCTTGTAGCTGGTTAGTTTTCATCTCTTTTGTATGAATACTTCAATTAGGGTAGCGTGTCCATATTCAATACTTGTTGGACATGTGTCAAATACTAATACTCCTCCAACATTCTACTATAGTTATTTTTCTTTCTTTATCAAGAATGTTATATATTTTTATTAAAAATTTTTAAATAAGAAAAATTAATAATAACTATAAAATTAAATTTATTATATAAATGGAGAATTTAATCAATATGTCAACAACATATCGTGTCTTAACCTTTTTGAAATATTAAGTGTCACGTGTTTGGCACACATCGTATCAGATACACATGTCCGTGTCCGTGTCCGTGCATAATAGATTTTCATTTTCTCACAAAGGTCTTAACAAATTTCTTGTAGTTTGATCAAGTGCTATATTAGTACTAAACATACTAACAAAAGGCTATAATGCTCGGACTCGGGTAAGGGTACTTATCTAAGTATCGAATATTTTATTTTCTAAAATGTAGGATGCGAGAACATAGCTAAAAAGAGTCCAATTTTTGGACGTGGGTACGTGTTTCAAGTTTCAATTTTTTTGCTAATCCAAGATGTCATTTTGAATAGACTAAAATCAATTATTTTCAAAGAAGGAAATGAGTATTGAATAAAAGGCTAAAACGAATAAAATAGAATTTTGAGTTTAGTTTTCAATTATGGGAAATTAATTACTAAATGTTATATAAAATAGAAATTTAAGGACTTCATTTTTAATTTGGACTTCATGAAGCACTGAGTAGCATATGGAACCTATTTTTATTTGATACAAACAAAACCTTAAACCACTGATACAAAGAGGAAAAGAAGGAAAAAAAAGAAGAAAAGTGAAAGAAAAAATAAAGAAGAAGCAAAAACGGTGGAGTACTGATTGAAACTTGGAGGATCCAACACATATCCTATATTCATACCCATGTCATGTCGTGTACGTGACGGGTACTCCGACTATGTCGAAGAATCCGAGCATCAAAGACAAAAAATACAAACAAATATATACTCTCTGACATTGCAAATATAGAATAACTTGTTATTTAATGAATTGCAATTATGTCGATAAACAAATAACTCTCAACTTATCAAAATAATGTAGTGTATTTCTCACTTTAATATCATGTCTATATTGAATTTCTATTTTTATTATGGAAGCTTCTCCTGCACTTGATTTAGTTTTAACTTTCTTTATTATACATTTATTGCAGTGGATGAAGGGATTCGTGGTTTGTTAATATTTGAGTATTTTCTTTCTTTAATCAGTTAGTATTGGAGGCATTATAAAGCTCAGTGCTTCCAAAGGAAGCTGTTACAATAAACTGAAAATTCAACTTGCTTAGCCATTCCATGTGCAAGTCTATTGCCAATTAATCAGATATGGTGAAATATGATGTTATCCAAAATCTTGGGTCAATATCTTGGTATTAGATACTGTGAATGTTAAAGACGGAGTTGTCACGTTCTACCTTTAACTTTATGACTGTTGTTGAATAGTCTCCTACTATAATTGCCTGTTTAATAGATGCTTATAGAAGAATATCATTGCTCTTAGCTGCCAATGTCTAAACTGTTTTAAAAGTGCAGCAGAAAATCTTCTAAATTTTAACAATATACCAAATCTTTGTCTATAATAAGATTGTGATCTAGGTTCATAAAGGAAAACAAGTTTGTATGACCTAACTTTCAATGACAATATTGTTATGAGTAACGTGAAATAAATCGATTTTGTTGAACATCTTATGGTATTCAATTTCTTTATGCACTGACACTTAGAATTGTGTATGCATGTAATTATTACAAGTTTAAAAGGCACATGAACGGATCAAGATGGGAAAATGTATATAGTGTAATTTTGTTGGTTTTTTCCTCTAAATTTATTTCTTGATAAGATTAAACGTGATCATACCCTTTCAGTTCATATGTTTGATGATGTAAAATTTTATATTTTGCAGTGTGTGATCAGATGTTCTTCTCTGAATTGAAGAAAGAGGCTTCTGATATAGTTGGTTGCCTTAGTTCAAGAGGACGGCGGCTTATCCATCTTCATGCTCCAAACCAAATGCAAAAGTATTTCATAAGTTTGTGCCAATGTTTCACAAGCAATCAGCAAGCTACAGCACAAGAATGTCGACTGTTAATTGAATATGTTGCAATGAATGCTATTGCTCTACGAAAAATCCTCAAGAAGTACGATAAGGTAAACAGTAATTGATTCCATTTGAAGAAGTTTTCTTGACTATCCAATTTCTTATTTTGTGAGGACTGGATTTTTATTTACGTCTTCCTTTATATTTTACTCTCCTTTTGACTTCATATAGATACATTGCTCTGTCAGTGGAAGAATTTTCAAATCTAAAATTCGTACTGAACACATAGAGCCTCTGCAATCTCCTTGGTTAATGGAACTTGGGGCTTTCTATATTAACTTTAAAGAATCAAACGGTGGGAATCAGGATAACGATGGACCATTCTCTTGTGACCTTAGTGCTACAGAGCCCATAATGATTTTGATGCTACCAGATTCTGTGAAATTAGAATACAATCTGACTTGTGCCATTTGCTTGGTAAGATCACTCATCCAATTAGAATCCTAAAGAGAATTTTGCATATATTTTTGATTTTTAATTTATCTGATTGATTTCACGTTTGGCTATATCATATATTTAGGATACCGTTTATAAACCATATGCTTTGCGATGTGGGCACCTCTTCTGCAAACCATGCGCTTGCTCTGCAGCTTCAGTTATGATCTTCGAAGGTCTCAAGAGTGCAAGTCCAGAATCAAAATGCCCCATTTGCAGGGAGGTTGGTATCTAGATAAGATATATTATAAAAATCATATAAATTCATAATTCATTTCATAATTTCTGAATAATTTTAGGTGTTTGGACTTCTTTATTTCTTTGACATTGGATGAATAACCTTGTGTTGTTTTTTTTGTTCAAATATTACAAACCATTAGGAAAGATATGGTTTGAGGTGTGAATCAAGATCTATTGGTCAATGACTGCATCAAACAATCCTAAATAACTTCATTTTAATCTCTATTTAGTTTACTATCTCCCATAATCCCAGAAATATAGCTTTTCAGGAAAAAAAAAAAAAAAAAAAAATCCAAGATATAGCCATCCCTGCCCCCTTACGTTAATCCCCACCTGTCTTTCAGCCTTTCACTCTCATTGAATCTTAAGTTATACTTTCTGTGCTGCATCTGTTCTAGGAATAAGATGATTGATAATTGTTTTTGATTGCCGGGATATCAAATTATGACTGTAAATAGTGTTTTACGCATACTAATGCCATATGAACTTTATTTTAGATGTTTGAGAAGGAACCTTCCCCTTGTAAAATTAATTTGTCCATAGATAATGGAAACACATTTTCTCAATATTTAGCGCTTGTTTTCGTTCTCTAAATCACAATCCTTTGTTTGCGCCTTTTCCCCACCTGTCTTTCAGCCTTTCACTCTCATTGAATCTTAAGTTATACTTTCTGTGCTGCATCTGTTCTAGGAATAAGATGATTGATAATTGTTTTTGATTGCCGGGATATCAAATTATGACTGTAAATAGTGTTTTACGCATACTAATGCCATATGAACTTTATTTTAGATGTTTGAGAAGGAACCTTCCCCTTGTAAAATTAATTTGTCCATAGATAATGGAAACACATTTTCTCAATATTTAGCGCTTGTTTTCGTTCTCTAAATCACAATCCTTTGTTTGCGCCTTTAATGCTAATTCTTGGTCTTTAATGCAGGTGGGAGTGTATGCTAATGCAATGCACATGACAGAATTAGATTTGCTGTTAAAGAAACAGTAAGCAAAATGTTCTGTAAACTCTCTCTCTCTCTCTCTCCCCGTAAAATAAAAGTTGAAGTTTAACAGGCTTGTATGCTTTGTAGTTACCAGGAAACTTGGAAAGAGAGGCTGGCTGCTGAAAGAGAGGCAATTGTGAAGCAATCAAAGCTCTACTGGGACTTACAAACCAAGTTAATGATTGGATATTGATATGTTTCTCTCTAATTTGGCATTTTTTTCCTGTGAGAATATTTTGAAGGGAGTGACCATGGACAAGGTGACCATGCGTGAGCTTCATTATTTTCACATTTTGTTTCTGGAGAATCATAAACGATGTAGAAACGAGCAACATAGCATTTTCTTTTTTTTTGCAGTACTAAAGACAATTTTTTTTTGGGAAAATAGTTGAATGTGAAGATTTTACTTAATTCTTATTTTGTAAACCACTGGATATTTTCTCTGTTTGGCTGTACCTATATAGTGAAAAAAGAGGGAATAAAGTTTTCTCATGCTTCTCCGAAAGATTTTATTCGAAAGTTCTATTATTTGATACTGACCCTATAATGCCTCTGATCCTGAAGAGTACATTGTGTTAATGTACATTAGACGTGATCATTCAAGGTAAATATTTGAACTATGAGGTTGCGTTTGATTGTAAGCAAGAAATTTATATGGAAAGAAAATAAATTATAGATAATTTAATTGCCTAGAACTTATTTGCACGGAAATTATCAATTAAATGTATTTGATTAATTTAATTTTCAACCTAAAAAATATCATACTTGTTCATTTTTATTGGTGGGTAGATTCTCGTGGATAAATGAGAGAGAGAAAGAGATAGTGAATTTTCTGGAAAATAAAATTTTACTTCTCCTAAAGAAAATATTTTCTTGATTTTGAGGAAATATGGTTATGTGATCAAAAGTAGGAAAATAATTTTTGTAGAAAAAATTTCAATTAAATAGCACAAAAGTAGAAATTTGAGTGGAAAAAATACATTTTTCATAGAAAATATTGATAATCAAATGCATCATGACTATGGTTGAAAGCTATTATTCATGTCGTTATATAGCAAATTTAGTTGTGCGCATATGAGAGACAAGTAATAGGTGGAAATTTTGGACTCAACCAATCGAAAGGTTCTCTTATGTAATGATGCAAATTTGGGGTGTGATTGTTAGAAAATAACAAATAGGAATCTCAGGTGCAACTTGCGGTGAGTGTCTCGGGACCAAAGGTGTAAATTTCCCTTTTTATTCAGTATCCGTTTTTAGGAAATTTAACATATATTGAATACAAAATTAAGAGTAATTAGCACATAACGTTATTATCTTTCACTATTATTGTGAAAAAGGTCCTCAACTTCCGTTTTTTATTGATATTTTTACATTTATTTCCACCTTCATTATGCAAAAGGTCATTTTTCATCATTTTTTTCAATTAGAACCTGTGAAATAATGAATATACCCTTTTATTTAAATAAAACAAAAACAAATAGAAAGAACTAATTGCAACTATAGTCTCAAAAATTTTTAAAAGTGCAAATTAGTTTAAATAAAATTTCTTTTTTTATTTAAATAAAAGGGTATATTAATCATTTCTTAGTTTTTTATTAAGATATTGGATGAAATGAATAGAAATGATAGTTTGCACAATCAAATGTGTAATTAAGGGTGAAAATGCTGAAAGATGAAATGTATGAATATTTTTCACAATAATAGTAAAAGATAGAGACATTACGTATTAATTACCCATTTACTAATTTATTTTATACTCGTTTGCATTTTTTAAAAAAAATTGGGACTATGATTGCATTTAATTTTTCTTTTTGTTTATTGAAATAAAATGGTATATTTGTTATTTCACAACTTTTAATTAAGAAAAAATTGATGAAAATGATCTTTTTGCACAATGAAAGGTGAAATATAAAAACATAAAAAAAATAAAATAAAAATAAAAATAAAAATGAAAGATAATGATATTTTCAACAATAATAGTGAAAGATAATAACGTTATGTGCTAATTACTCATAAAATTAATACGAGGGAGTTAAAGTCAAATTAGAATTTAAACTTGATTTCATACTTTAAGAGTTGGTTTTGATAAGTTTAGAGAAAGTAAATTTAGGTTGTCACAAAAATGTTTGAAAATTTATTAAGAGTTTGTTTGGTAATGATTATGAAAATTGTTTTTTTGATTGTTAGAGAGAAAATATGGTTCTACTTGTAAGTGAAGAATTCTAAAACGATCGACTGAAATAGTGAAATAACGATTAAAATAATTTCTTTGAGTGAAAAATTGCTACCAAACAAGAGCTAAACTAATTTTCTTCTCAAAGAAAAAAGTATTTATTTTAAAATAATAAATTTACTTACAATGAACTTTTTAAAAGCTTCACCAAACCACTCGGTCTAAGCCCACAATTAATGGAATTGGTCAGGTTCGAACAAACCGGACGAAACCCGTATTTGCCCACTCTCCTTCCGTATAAATAAATTAGCAATTCGGAAATTGTGTTCGAAGAATGGCGTTTAGAGGAAGAGGGCGCGGCCGTGGCGGTTTCGGCGGTGGCGGTTTTCGTGCTGCTAAGCAAGAGCCGTTTGAATTGTATCCGGTAAATATTTTTATTTTCTTTTGCATTTTTCTTCAGTAGTTTTCTTTCTCCTTGCTTTAATTACCATACTATAAGAATTGTAAATTGTTAGTTATGAAAAATTGTGTCATTTTCTATTAAATCGAATACATGTCATCAATCTGGTTTAATTGATTGGGGGTATAATCTCAGGAAATTGAAGATTTAGGAACTGCAGAATATTCAACTAGAAATTTGCAATTAATAAAATGGTATTCAAATTTGCAAAAATACTGGAATTCCTCTCCTTACTACTACGAAGGTGGAAGCGAACGCACTAGGAGTAAGTTTTCTTCCTTCTTTCTGTAGTAATTTGTTCAGTTAGTGCGTGTTAATAAGAATTATTGGACATGCTGGATATAAAAGAAGAAGACTATCAAATCCTTGCCACATGTTGTTAAATGGATTGTCATCCATGTCAGTAAGTTGCATTTGCAAGCTTGGGTTTTACCTGGGTGTTTGTTTGATTATTTGTACATTAAGTGCTTACACGATTAATGACGGGTTCTCATTTATTTGAAAACGAATATATGATTCCCCTCTGCAGTTTAAAGAATCTTCATTTGTTTATTTGGTTATCTTGATATTTGTCTTTGTGTGAGGGTGCTTGTCCACAACCCTATCTGGTTAGCTAAATGCCACGAAAATGAACTGTGTGATGACTTTTATTCTGGAGCATCAGAGTTAGAAATAGTGCATTCCCTTGTATCATAATATCTTGCAAAGCATTCTATTTTTATTATCTATGGCACGCATCATTATGACTAAACTCAATATTGCTTTCTAATTTGGAAAGATTGTCAAATCAAATATAAATTGATAAATTTACTTAAGCCTTTAACATATAAATGCAGTGATACTTCTTATACTTATATGTTCCCTGAAAATTTGAACTGGAAAAGAAAAGAGGAATGCTCGCATATCACATATCTCATGTCCATAATTTACATGTTCAAGCTTTTGGATACTTGTTTGTGGGAAATTTTGTGTATAATTATATTTGTTTGATCGAGAAATACTGCTCAGTGTATATTTGTCATCTTATTTTGTCCAGTGGCCTAAATATATTTCTGTTATACATTATAGATGCCTAATTTTTGTTAGAAGAGCTTAGGAATATGTTAGTGAGACCCCTGTTTTGTCTCTCTGTTAGATCTTCGTTTTGTTTATCAAAATGACATCTTTTGTTGCACTACTTTTACACGAGTTAGATCTCATACGTCTCCTGAATTTATAACCGCAGATGTGCAAAAACCAGATGTGGAAAGGTTGTCCGACAAAAATTCGCAAGTCACAAATGCCAAGCCCCCGCTTTGGCACTTCATTAAGTTGGACACTGATCATGTTCCTGCAGAACTAGCTAGAGGTTCCTGATTGTACCTATTGTGAAAATATTGATTAGTTTTCGGGCAAACAATTTTCTTACATATTATAGGCTCTCTTTTTTAAAATTGTATTCGTTTATTGAATGAACACAGGTGATAAGAAGGAAAAACTCGGCAGCAAAAAAGTGAGATGGAACCCGGAATTAGCAGGTATGCAGTCAATAAAATTTTGACTACCGACCTTAGATTTTAAGTGTGATTGTTGAAATCAAGTAGTAATGTTGTACTGACTTTTTTTCAACTTCGAAGGAATGTGTGTTGGATGCAGGATGAGAATTCAGGCCCATCGTTTTTATTCCACCATTAATCTAATGTTACAAATACTGATAGATTGTTCAACATATTATTGATTAGTATGCATATGCACCTAGGTTGTAACTCGGTCTATCTAATGCCTAGGTATTGGACAATTGTTCTGGCATTTTCAAAATAATGAAGACCATAGGAATTGAAAAAGTCCCCCCCCCCCCCCCACCCCCCTGTTGTACTGACTTTTTTTCAACTTCGAAGGAATGTGTGTTGGATGCAGGATGAGAATTCAGGCCCATCGTTTTTATTCCACCATTAATCTAATGTTACAAATACTGATAGATTGTTCAACATATTATTGATTAGTATGCATATGCACCTAGGTTGTAACTCGGTCTATCTAATGCCTAGGTATTGGACAATTGTTCTGGCATTTTCAAAATAATGAAGACCATAGGAATTGAAAAAGTCCCCCCCCCCCCCAACCCACCAAGTGTGCACGCCCAAATGATTCTGTTTATGCTTTTATTTTGACCACTGTATTATGGCATGGAAAATAACAAGTTTACTCCATTGCTTGTATAAAACATTTGTAATTGTCCATATGACAGGCATGCACAAATTGGATCTCTTTGAGAAGCTTGAACAGAAGCATCAAGTACTTTCTTTCCCCTCTGCTGTTTCAAAATGAATTCCAAATATTTCTTTTATGAGAATTACTAGCTCCCTCTCATTTATGCTGCATTTCTCCATATTAATGAAGAAAAAGGAAAGAATGAAGATTTTTTGTGGATCACAGAACGTCAGCTGTGATTTTATTGGTTTTGTTGTTAGTTTCTACCTGCATTGCATAATCTACAGTGGTTTTCTACTCCAAATGTCCAGGGCCAAGAAGGAAAGGAAAATAAAGAAAATGAAGATCAGGAAGAAGACGATGAAAGAAATGAAGAGGAAGCAGAAGAAGAATTTAGTGATGAGGGTGATTATGAGCAGGTTTACCACAAACTTCAATTTTGTATATCCAGACTCTGATTTTTCCTTTTCTAGTTAGTTGTTATAACTACAAGCTCCCAGTTTTCTGTGTTTATGGTGTATCCAAAAACGTTGAAGCATGTTAGTTAAAGATTGGCTTTTTGGTGTTGGATAAATTAACTAAAGACTGGCAATTGCATTAGCATTGGCATGCATGAGATTGAAGCATCATTTTTTTCCGTTAATGTTTTTGAAATATTAGCTCCTTTCATATATGTTGCTAATAATTCTGCAAATCTTACAGAATGAATATTTTGATGATGATGAAGATGACTACAATATGGCCGATGACAATGATGGTATGCATTTTGTCTCTCATAACTTTCCTTCATTACACCTCATTGGCAGTTAGTTTCTTGATATTTGATGGAGGTTTAACATTGTTTTACGATTCTGATTATTTCTATTGACATTAATCACATTCTAACAAATATAATGAATTTACAGATGAGCCCTTCTTTTAGGTTCCGATAATGGGAATCTTTCATCCAACTTGCTTCGACCTGGCTTTAATTTTGCACTATTGGAGCCTTACTTTGATTCCTTGCCCTTTAAGATCAACATGCCAGGAGGACCTTAGAATTGTTTTGCTAGAAGATGGAAGGAAAACAGCTCAAGGGGTGAGATGTTTGTTCAACTGCAAGATCTGTTCAGTTTTGCACATAAAAGAAGGAAAAGTGGAACAAGCTGAATTGGCAGAATTTTTAACTCTTTCATATTTATATTTTATTTATATGTGAATTACCTGAAGGTTTTTCCTTTCTACGTTCTGCCCAAGGTTATGTGATGAGGACATTTACTTTTTGTTTATTTTTAATTGGACTTTATTTATGTTTTAGATTTTATTTATGTAATTGGGCTTGTATTGATTTAAGTCCATTCTACTTAAGGTTTTAGTCTTTACTATTTAAACCTAATTGCGATATAATTTCATTAGTTGTGATGATTGAATAAAGATATTTGGTGGCTTGTGATGAAATTTCCCTCTTCCCCATTCATCCTCTTCCTCTATTTTCTTTTTCTATCATCTTTTTCCCTGATTTCTTCTTCATGGTCATTGATTTTCTCTTTCTCTATTAATTTTTCTATTGGTGCTGCATCAAATTTGGTATCAAAGTCAAAACTAGGGTAATTTTTTATTTACCATTCAGAATCTTCTTCCTATCCTTTTTCCAAAAAAAGTTGTGGAATAGCACAAAAAAAATAAAAAAAAAAATTGTTGTGAGGAAGCAGTTTTTTTGTTCAATTTTCTTTCTAGTTGATTTAAAAAAAAAAAAAACACTGTTCTAACTCGGAAGTGTTTTTTTTTTTTTTTTTTTTTAAAAAAAAAAAAAACACTGTTCTAACTCGGAAGTGTTTTTTTTTTTTTTTTAGTTTAAAAAAAAAAAGTGTTGCTGTTCATAGTACTGTTCATGCCCAAAAATTCCAGCTTAGTCTTTCATCAGTTTCTACAGCTAAAAAAAAAAAAAAAGTTTCTGTTGTCGCCTCAAATTTCATTTTCTTAATTTCATTGTTACTGTTCCTTTAACCTACTCCTATTCTTATTTCACGGCCCAATTATTGTTAGCATAAACTTCTTCATAACAGCCCAAAACCCATTTCCATATCACACAGCCCACTTACTTCCGACCCAACTCTTATATTCCCCACACACGTTCCTCCTCCCTAAGCCCAAGATAAAACACAAAACCAAACCGCTTGCCGTGCCCAACCTCTCTCCGACTTCCAACAACAAACCCGATCTCCAACTTCGTCTCCTCTAATCCTAATCCGGCTCCCTACCGTTTGTACTTCATCACATGCTTCATCGTCGCCATCAATCACAAGCCACCGCCACCACTGGCCCATCTTTTCTCTCGCCTTCAATACATTATTCTAGCAACTAGCCACCATCTCCCCACACAGTCAACACACCACTCGTAAATTACAATTAACAGATGATCATAATCCTAAATAGCTAGACACAGTCAACTGTTTCATCTCCACAACACTTAAGATCGAAGTCACTCCCGAATTGATCTTGTCGCATCACTCAATTGTTTAGAGCTCAGGAGTATCAGCTTAACTGCAGCTTTTGTGATCTATCCACTCGACGGGGTCGAGTTTTCTCCCATCCCGAGAGAGTTGATGAGGACATCTACTTTTTATTTATTTATGTTTTAGATTTTATTTATGTAATTAGGCTTTTACTGGTCCAAGTCCATTCTATTTAGGGTTTTAGTCTTTACTATTTAAACCTAATTGCGATGTAATTTCATTAGTTTTGATAATTGAATAAAGATATCTGGTGGCTTGTGGCGAAATTCCCCTCTTCCCCATTCTTCTTCTTCCCCTGTTTTCTTCTTCTATCATCCCTTCCCTTGATTTATTTTTCATGTTCATTGATTTTCTCTTTCTCTATAATTTTCCTATTGGTGCTGCATCATTATGTAGTGCGTGATACGGATTGATTGCTGCAGAAGTGAAGCTGCAAGTGCAAAAAAAGTCTCTTTACTGCCTTTTTAATTAGAAAAAGATAATTGTACATTATTTTTGAGTTAAACAACAAAATAAAAATAAGATGGAACGCGTATTTTCTTCTCCATTAACCCACTCACTCAGCAGCCACAACCCTACTGCCTCCCTCGCTGGCTCCAACTCAGTTGCTTTAGTTTTCAGTTACGAATAGGTGTTACAAATTTTGAAGCTCAAAAACTCAAACCATGGGTTTGGTTACATAGGCTGAACACTATTCAAAGAAACCAAAGGGTTCTGCTTATGAATTGTGAAAAAAGAAGGAAATGAACATCTAAGTGTAAGGGTATCTTGCCTATCACAAGAACATGATCAGATCCGAAAAAGACCAAGTTAGGCCTGGGAGGCATAAGTGTCTTCGTGGGATATGCTTTAATAAAGCATATATGTTAATCAACTTATAATAAGATGTGAAGTTCTTTGAATGTAGTTAGTGTGGATGAAAATTCTCAAACTCTTTAAGAAGACTAAAGAAGAGATTCCGACTTAGAAAGAATACTAGAAACATCTTCTAATGAAGTTGTAAAATCTAGTGAACCTTGAAGAAATAAAAGAGGCTGTAAAGAAAATGTATTAGGATCGGATGTGATTGATTCTCAAGGAATTGCATTATGCTTAGTGGATGCAAATCGGGAAAACATTGTAAAAGCAACTTCATTTGTTAAATTGATCTTAAGACATATAAGAGGCTACAGCTTTTAGAGATAATAAAAAATAAATAAATAAAAATGCTATAAATGATTAGATGGATTATATAATGTCGAAATAACACTTGGAAAATTGTCGATCTATTGACGGGATCAAATCGAATCGGGTGTAAGTGAGTATTCCAGTGGAAATAGAATACCGATGATTCAATTAAATGGATTAGTAACTAAATGATATCAACAAAAATAAGGAATAGATTACATTGACATTTACATATGTAGCTAGAACAACTTCTATTGTGATCTTATTTGCCTTAGCTTCTATTGATAATTTACGTGTTCAACAAATGGATATTGAAACGGAAATTTTAAAATGAGCCTTAGATGAAGAAGCATACGTGGAACTATAGATATATTCTATTACACGATAGATACATTTTTATACTAAGACATCTAACAGGTGTGTTCCATTTGTTTGCTTATACGTAGATGACACATTGATTATAAGTAATCATATGGATAGTATCAAAGAAATGAATAGGTTTTTATTTTCCACATTCAAGATGGAAACATCTTGGTCAAGTGGAAGCTATATTAGGTGTTAAAGTGTCAAGAAATGGAGGTTATTCATTAATATGATCACATTATATTGAGAATGTGGTGAATAAGTTGAAACGTTTAAGCATAAAGAAGTTGATATGAGTGTCAAACTTGTAAAGAATGACGGAAGGGATCGAAGGATTATTGCATAACGTGAATATGAAAGTGTAACTAGTATCGGATATTGCTTTCCACTGGTGGGGCTCCTGGTTATTTAAAGTAGAATAAATAGATGAGTTACAATATTCTAAGTTTCTAACTATTCTAGAAGGATATACAAATGCTAGTTGGATATCGAGTGTGAGTGAAAGTAAGTCAAAATCAAGTTTGGTGTTTAGAGGGAAAGTTTCTTGAAGGTCTAAGAACCCAATGTGCATTACAAACTTGGCTATAAAATTCGAGTTTGATGCATTAGCAAAAAAAGAGGAAATAAGTTGTGGCTTCGGAACTTTCTTTATGATGTTCTGTTGAATATGAAGGATGTGTATTCTATCTCGATACCATGTAATAGTCGAGCTTTAGACATGAGTTTACGACATGATTATGTAAGAAAATTGACTGACGTTTGAGTAATTTCTCTTACAGATGCAAGAAAGATTATTGAGTAACAAATAGAACTAGAGTGTTCATGTGTGACGTTGCCGGTATTGCCAAAAGGATTACATGTTTAAAGCTTAAAGATATCCAAGATTTCAATAATGCTTCTGTTTGCACTAAGGTAAGGGGAATGCACAAGCATAGTGAAAGTGCTCGGTTGCGCAGTGCATTGTCCTATGTTGGGAGAGAGGGTTTTTGAATTTCTTAGATTTATGAAGTGCCTTTTCGCCTATAATTGTGTCCCTTTATAATATTTCTGTTATAAAAAGGTTGAACTCTAACTTTGAGGGCCCCTATCGCTCTGCCCCTGAAGCATCGCGAGGGAGGTAAATTATGGAATGTGCCTCATCAGGCCGAGTTGGTAGAATAGATGAGTGCGAGGCCTTTGGTTACGAGTTCGATTCCCCCTACCAACATTTTATTGGTCGAGTCTATCGCACAGGACTTGCCCAGTACAGTTTACCTGACTGGCTTGATTTGCAGACTATTGCGTCAGTCTGAGGGTTTACTCAGTACGCAACCGAAAGGTAGCAACTGCGGGTTTCCCGTCATAAAAAAATAATAATAATAAATAAATTCTTAAAGAAGGGTGAGTAACGCTTTTAGGACAGCGTTAATATGGTATTCGAGCTAATTAGATTATTTCTTTGTCTTCATCATTATTCTTCTTCTTGTTAGGGGCGGACCCAAGGGGTCCTAAGGAGTCACGTGATCCCCCACTTTTGAAATTTCATTTTTTTTTCTTTTGGACAAGTCCTGTTTAATATTAATTAAAATTTAAATTTTAATCTAAGTCAAAATTAATAATTAATTTCAATAAGGGTCTGTTTGATTGTAAAGATGGAATTTGGATGGAAAGAAAATAAATTTCAGGGAATTGAATTACCTAGAAATTGTTTTCCTATGAATTGTAAATTATTGTGTTTGATTGGTATAATTTTCCACGTGAAAAATGTTGAAGTAAAAGTGTTTTTTGACATTTGTTTGGCTTTGTATTACATGAAAATTGTCAATTTAAGGGATATCCACTTCTACCATTGTTCCTAAAATTTGTTTCCATTACCAACCAAAAATAAAAAAATAAAAAAAATAAAAAAATCACCTATATTTTGATGTTCGTTTGACTTTGTTTTACATGAAAATTATCAATTTCAGGGATATCCTCTTTTACAAATGTTTCTAGAATTTGTTCCTATTGCCAATAATTAAAAAAAAAACAAAAAGAAAAAAAAGGTGGAAAACCAAAAACCACCTACCCCTAGAAAAATAAAAGGTGGAAAATCATGCTTTAAGGTGTTGTACCTAGAAATTCAGAGAAAATCAATTCTCTGGAAAATTTTGTCAATCAAACAGGCCAAAAGTGAAAGTTGGAATTCGAATTCCAAATTCCATGAAAAATTTCGTGCAATCAAACGGAGCCTAACATATTTTATAGAATTCTTAACTTTTTAACTTTTATTAAAATTTACTAAAAATTTGATTTTAACCCCACCAAAAAGGGGCAAAATCAAAATAAATTTGATTTTTTTTC